CTTAAGGGTTTTTTTGCATCAGGGGCTTGAAATGTGCTCTGATTTGGTAGTGTTTTATAACACTTCTTTGCATAACTGCACAAGTTACGAAAGTAGGCCCATTATCTTTTTCAGGCCCAATAGCAAGTTGGACCTGCTGCACCAGTTGTGTATCCAAATTACAATTCCATGCAGCTGGTGCTGTTTGAGACGTGCTGTATTTAAAAAAAGAAAGAAAGAAAGAAAAAAGCAGAGGGTGTATACTGTCCTTGCTTGCAGCATAATTGGGGTATGGAAAGAAAGGGACGAACTTGAAACTAAGAGAACATGGAGACCAAGTTAATCAAGTGAGGAATTTAAGCCGTAATCAGGGTCTATAGCAAAACCTTTGAAAGCACCAGTGGCTGTCTTAGTCCTGGTTGATATACTGAAGGTAGTTTTAATATACTTAGAAGAGGTGGTATTTCTATATGGTTTCAGTTCATATTTTGATTTTACAACTTTAGGGTTTGTTGATATGCGGAAGTTATTTCAGAACAGAGTAGGTCATAAATAAGTCTCCATATGCTGAATTTTAAGTGGCAAAGGTGAGGCCATTAGAGAATTGTCCAGTCTAAAGCTGGGGTTGGCAGCCTATGTATGGCCTACAGGAGACTGAATCTGGCCCATAGTTAGGGACCTATTTAAGTTGCGGTTTTGTGATTTTTGTGGAAACCTTGAAACATGGCATTGGCTGCAATTTCCCAGGAAATCAACCAAATCCATCCCCCCCCCCCCCCCAAAAAATAAAGTGCTGGGTCACCAGTGGGAGGAAGCAGTTCTCACTGCTACTACGGCCTTGCCTTGCAGCCTGCCCAGGAAAGGACAGCACGAAGCGCAGCCAGCAGTCAAAATGGCTTTGTCCTGCTTCCACCCAGGGCCTCCCTACTGATCGGTGCTGAGGGGCGGGGCTGCTGCAAAATTGGCTCCAGGCAGAGACCAAGCTGTAAAAATTGCTTTTTCTTGCTGCAAGTTAGGTGGGCCCCTACCCCACAGTGGCTTAGGGAATTGGCAACATGCTCCAGCCATACCTGCAAAGGAGTTGTTCCTTGGGTCCTAGCACCTTCTGTGCTCAGTTTATTCCTACTGCTGCCACAGAGGCAGCATCCCAAGAGGTCTTAGTGTCTGCCTTTATCCAGTCCCTTTGCAGCATTTGCATATTGTTGGGAGGCATGGGCTATGGTCCGTGGTGGGGCTGGGTCTTAGGCAGTGGTCCGCAGTAGCAAAAAGGTTAGACTAGGGGCTGGCAAAGTAATAAAATTAATAGATGAAGTCAAAAGAGACCATAGGGCTTTGTTCGAACATGAACTGCTTGCAAAAGAAGCATCTAATATAGATTAAAAAATTGCTTGGGTGGAGAATCCACTACAACCCTTTGCAACTTATTCCAAATTCTGGTCAACTGGAACTATATATATAAGTATTGCTTTATTACAGGTATTATTTCAAAAGCCATGCAAGGAAGTATATTGGCTGTAGTTATATACTTAAGCATTCCTTTGGCTTCTAGTATGATGATTACTAGGTTTGACCATACTTAAACGTAAAAAGAGACTCCGTTGACTGACAACATTCCTGTCTCCTGAAGCACTCTGAAGTACTTTACTAGGTAGAGCAGTATCTACAAGCTCCAAACTTACATAGCATTATATATGTGTTTACTTGACAAACTATGTTAAGTGTAATTTTAATTGACAGATTTAAGTATCAAACTAATTTGGATTCTTAGTCGGGGAGGGCCACTGAGACTTTTTTTGTCACTCAAATATAGGTTGCTACTGCTCAGAGTTGCATTGTAAGCTACCTCCTGGATTGATTTAAAACCACTCAGTATAATGTTGCAGTCTTTTGGGGTCTTAAAATCTATTCATACATTTAAAGATTAGTGGAATAGTCAGCCCACCTAAAAACTTGAACTTTATTTTAATTGTTAGTGACTGGCCCGTCATTAAAACCATGGTTTCATGCAGCAGATTTTATTCTAAACATTTTTGCAACATATCATTCAGAGTTGCATCTTTCTGTGGGACTTTCATCTGTGTTTGCATGGTAATTTGTAATTTTAGCAGTTTAGTAGACTATTCAGTGCAGTGTGACAAAATGTACTCCCTCACTGAGCTAAGTTTAAGAATTCTGATGTACATAGACTCAATCCTTAACTGCAAGAAGTCACCAGCTTGTTACAAGACTGTTCAAACTTTTTCTAGGGATGTTTCTATTGATATAGGTCAGTGGTGCTCAACCTTTTTCCTTGGCAGGCTGGATGGGCAGTGCCCCATCCATCTGTGGGCTGGATCCTGCCTGTGGTTCTGATCTTGTGCTGGGGACAGCACAAGGGGTACTATCCAGCCATGCAGAGGGGAAGAGCTCAGCCCTGAGTCTGGAGGGGAACGGGAGCATGGTTTGTCCCCAACTCAGACTTGCGGGGGGGGATGGCCAACCCCCAAACCAGCCCTGTGGGGGTAGAAGAGGGCATGGCCCAGCCCTGCAGGGAAAAGAAGTTATAGCCTGGTCCCAACCCAGCCCAGTGTGGGGGTGTCTGGCTCTACAGGGAAAGTGTGTAGAAAGAACACTCTGATCTCGTAAGTAGGACCTACCCAAACTAAGGAGGCCAATTTTGTGGGCAGATTGTGAGACTAGCTGCTGTTTTTGTAGGTTTATTGCAGTAGGGCCTCCCCACACTGCTTATTGGCTGAGGGGCCCTGGTGGCCCTGCCTCTTGCTGCTGATTGGCGGAGAAGAGTAGGGCCACATGATAGGCAGCCCTCTCAGCCACTCAGCCATGGCAGCCAAAGCTGCCATCTTGGCTGCTCCCCTTCATGCCAGCAGCACATCATCCACTCACTGGGGAGCCAGCATTTTATTTTTAATAAGCTTTTTTTTCAGATTTCATAGACATTGCCCAGATTTCAGATTTCCACAAAATTGTAAATTGAATCAGTTCCTACTCTTAAGTCTTAAGTCATTCTGCATCCTGTCCACAAAAAGGATGTTGCACACCCCATTCATCAGCTGGTAGTTGGGAGTACCTGGCTTAAAGTGGCATTACTAGCCCAAGATTCATCACATATGGAGCAAAAGGGGGAACAACTCTTTATGTGGATAAGATACAGGTCTTAAAGTTATAGCGCCACACCAGAACCAGTGCGTGCCAGTTGCAGTGACCTTTGTGAAAGCAAGAGGACCCTGGATTCTTCTGCATCACTGGAGTTTTTGGGGGATGGAAGGGTGGAAATGGGAAGAAAGGGATTAGCTTAATGTATATCAGGGCCTATGGAGGAGGAATATAGGAAAGTGACACAGATGTTGACTGCCTAATTAGAGCCCGAGGCAAGCTTTATGTGAAAATTATACATTTTTAAACATAAGCATTTTGACACACCACAGTGCTGATGTGGAGCTCCCAACAAATTTCTTTTTTTAAAGAAAAAACGTTAAGCCTCTGTTTTGAAATGCCTACACTGGCTAGAAATGCCTTCAGAGTTAACATGGCTGTCATTTCAAGGGATGCCACTTAGCCTATGGGCATAAATCTACTAGGGATGTAAATATTGATTTTAAAATACCTATTTAACTTGTAATTATGATGTTCAGATGATTAATTGGCTTGGCAACCCCCTGCCTGGCTCACATGGAGCTGCTCTGGCTTGGCCTACGGGGCTTTCCAGGCCCAGCTTCCAGTCCCTCCTGTGCCCCCCAAATGCAGCATGGACTCAGCAGTTTCATAGGACTGCACCTCATGATGAGTCGGGCCGGTGGCCAGGTTGTTTCTGGGTACGGATGTGGCAGGGCGCCCTTGGGGCTGAAATGCAGGCCTGGGGAAGCCACCCCATGCCCTCTTTCTTCCACTGTGCCCCTGCCAGGCCCTGCAGCTGCTGCGAGTCCAGCGGGGTGGAGGGGCACATGCGGGTGCCACCGGCAGTGGCAACTGCAGCAACAGAAGGCTGCACTGGGGTCAGCAGAGCCCAGGTATAAATACTAGTCCCTCCTGCCTGCCCTGCTGCGTTTTAGTTCCTGCTGGGGTACTGTGCAACTCCCCTTCCCCCCACTTTCCCTGCCAGACTGTGCCCTGCCCCTTAAGTGATAATTGGTTGGCTATAACTGGTTATCACTGGGCTTATTAGTTAAATGATTAATTGTTTAACAATTCACATCCCTAAAGTAGTAGACGTTAACTCTTTTGCAGTAGAGCGGAGATTTTCATCCAAGGTGCTGCAAGATCTTTTTAAGGATGATGTGGGGTGCCATGCAATATTATTGCTTGTTAGGTGTGCAGTCACCTACATATGATTCACAAATCCAGAGATTTCAAATAGGATTTCATAGTGTCAAACACATTCTGACCTGTTGTGGTTTCTGTGTGTTTTGCAAAAGAAGAATTGCACTATTAATTTTCCATAGCCAAAAAATGAGTGAAAGTTAAGATTTGATATTTTTTGAGAGTTGCCTTGCGTTTCACAAGGTTGAGAACTACTTCACTAAAGCATTTAGATTTAAAAATGGGTGAAAGGTTCTGCCTTTAGGAGTTGGAGTTTGGATTTTATCCATATTAGGAGGTAGTTGAAGTTGAGGAAGACTGGTTTGCTGTGGATGTGCAACAATAACTGAATTTCCCGAGTTAAATAGCTGTGTCCCCTACCATGGCTTTCTCTTCTTCCCCTACTACTAATTCTTCCTAAAGGAAGGCTCTAATATTCAAGATTTCTTAAGGGAGTCTCGTTCATGTAAAACTTATGTAGGTCCTCAGGATCTTGGATTCCCATGCAAACCTAGGAAAGGGTTGCATTATTTGACGTTTTTAAATGCATGCAGGAACGGGGAGAAGAGGGTGGGATGTGATTAGGAGACAGCAGAACTACTGCCTTCTCCCTACCTCTTACTATTTCACAGTTCACTAGTCTGACACTTGATGACAAACTTAAACAGATGCATGTGCTTTCCATCTCCTGCTTTCTAAATAAAGGGAATTTTGTTCTCATGCAGAAGTCTGAGAATGGAGTCTAAACCCTCAAGGATTCCCCGAAGGATCTCAGTTCAGCCCTCCAGTTCTTCTTTAAGTGCTAGAACATTGGCTGGAAGCAGTTTAAGTGATACATATGATACAAGAGATTCTTCATTGAGACTGGAATCTGGATGTCAGGTAAAGCATTTTATATTAACTTTCAGCAATCACATTTTAGCCCTTCAGAATCAACTATCCATTTGGGCTCACTAAAACTTAAGTACATAGAGCAGGACTGTTCAGCTGTTAAGTGGCTGGGGGCTGCATGCCATGTGAGCTACACCAGCAGGGGATGCATTAGCACAGGCTCTGGGCCCTGGCTTCCCCCCTCCCACCTCCAGCTACTGTACCATGCCATGAGCTGTGCCTCTCCACTCCCTGGGGTGGGAGAAGGAAGTGAAAACCAGAGGTGCGCTGATACATTGGCCCATATGGTATCAGTGCCAATAAAAAGAACATTAAATTATCTGCAGCTGGCTTTTTTTGGCTGCTGTGACTGATAATGCTGCTGGTAAATGCTGCATGCATGTGTGGCCAGGAACGCAGCCTAGCAGCTTGGAGAGCAGTGTCCAGCTGGTAAGTCTGGGGGGAGGGGGAAGCAAGGTCGGTTTCCCCC